TTTTTAACGTTTGCTCATTTTCAATTAAATTCTAAAACTTCTGTCAACTATTTTTAAAATATTTCTTATAGTAAATGCTACATTCAAAGAAATCTTACATATGAACACGCGAGAAGTAAAATATTTATATCTATAAACAATCGAGAGAAGAAGAAAAATCATTTTCCAAGATCCAATATTTTTAATCTTTCTTTTTTTGGAAAGAACGCAATCAAAAGAAAGACGTAGAAACAAGATCGTGCTCTGGATGCGTTACCATAACAACTGAAAGTTCTGACGTCACAAAAAGATGATGTCTACTTTTAAAGGTTCTAGTCAACAGAAAACTGGCAAATCTGGAAAAGCGTACGTCATCTGATCGTATTCGTCTCCTTTTTTGAAGCTTTCAAAAAAAACTGTTTTTTTTCTTGTACATATTTCCATAAACCGAAAGTTTATCTTCTTCTTTTATTTTGTTTAGTTATATATGCATTACAAATTATTTGTAGACTGTTATAGATGTCTTATATGTGTAAGCTAGTCAGACGAAATTCTTTTTTTTCTTTCTTTCGAGGAAAAAAAATGTATTTATACATCCAATTGTAAAAGCATAAGTATGTGTGCATATTTTTTATTATTAAGTGATTATTAATAAAGTTTTTGGGTTAAATCTTACTGCTGCATTCAGCAATTAAGTACCTTTCAAAGTTTTCTAAAATTACAAAATTATGAGCACATTTATGGAAAGTTTTCATTCCTTCATTAAAATTTAATTTTGATGCACATTTATTAAATTGATTAACTATGTTAAATAAAATTTAAAATTATTAATAAAATTTAATTTTAAGATTAAGTAAAATTTGCGGTGAATGGGTGGTTGTAGACCTCCACCGGTGAATGCTGACTACCACATAGTGACTTTGTTAAATGTCCGAAATATATAAACTAGTTACCCTCTATACATTTACCCGGTATGCCCTACATCAATGTTTCAGTGCCCAGTATGCATTTAACCGGTACTCCGAATACTGATCCTCAGCTGATGTTATAATATCGAATAAATCCAATAATATCAACGAATATAATATAACATTCACCAAAGCGTGATTGTCGACATTCACCGGTCTCTTGATTTCGGTCGTGTATGAATCTCTTGCAGACTAAAGTGATATTTCTACGAAACTAGATTCTTAAATAATTGAAAACTTCATTCATGTATTATTTTTCTATTCTGTTGTTCATTTTTTTAAAACACTTTTCCCGATCTTGTTCGCATGTCTTTTGTTCTAGCATGAAACACCTGTTCTTTTGAACAGAAATGCTATAAAATATTTAGATTGCCATTACGGAATCAGATACCATTACAATCGATTTTTAGAATCACGAAAAAACAATCACTTTGGATCGGACAATATATTGACATAAAAATTGTTGATATGGATTTATTTCTTATCGAGTGAATGAAAAAAAATAATAACCGCGACACATTTTGATTCACTTTTTTAATTTTTTGTGTAGTATGTTCCTTATAAGATTTTTTTTTATTACTCGGCATTCTCTGGGGAAAAGTATATACACATCTAGGACAGCAATCTAATAATAGCTCGGGGAGGGAAAAACGCTTTGAAAAGCACACAAAGCGAGTATACGAAGCAACGAGTATACGTACTGTAAACCCACTTTCTTTTTGTGTGATTTATCAGATAGCGTTTCTGTTTTCCCTGCTGAAAATGACCCCCAATGTGTGCATAGAGTGCCGGGAAAGAAAAAAAAACGGATCACTCTGAATAACTTTTGATCTAATGATCGGATCTGCACGTTCTGGGACATGTTCCTGATGGTTGGAAGGGATGACTTCAAATATTCTAATTAATTCATGGAGACGATATTTTAAGTTACAAAATCAGGCACATAAACGTACTTTCTCTGAATAAACACAAATTTTTCAAAGAATTTCGATTTCTGACCCCCCCCCAAAAAAAATAGAGGGGGGTAGCCGCAACCTGGGAAATAGGGTCTCCATAGTTTGGTTTGGAGAGCGATCCAAAGTTTGGACCTTTTAATGTTAACTTTACTTTTTGCAAATTTTTACCATATTTCGAGAATTTCTTAAGAGAATTTAAAAAAATTTGAATAATTGAATTTTGCGAATATAAAATTCATTTAGCCGAAAAGAATTCTATGCAAAATATAACTTTTAGTATATTTTTATTATTTTTCTTAATTTTACTTAATAATAGCCGAAAGAAATTTGAATTGCAAGGTACGCAATTTTTGACGTCATTTTAACCCTTTCGCTATCACCGGGACATATATGTCCCGCAGGCAGTTTCAAATAACCCTATGAGCTAAATATGCTTTGTATTATTATGAATGCATGTCCCACTGGTATTCCTTGATATCACTGACAATTCAGTAATTTTTACCCTTTTTCAGAATTGTATCGATATTTGCATTGTAACTGATATATTTAAGTACTTATTTCATTTTTTTCTCAGAAAAAAATTGGTAGTAAAAGGGTTAAAGTATGTAATTTTACATGGCAAAATACAAAATTCGAGCGAAATCGGTAGGATAGTTTCTAAGAAATCGAAATTTTAATATACGACTTTTTTTAGAATTCAATTTCTCAGGGACTATTCAGCCGATTTCACTCCAATTTTGTATTTTGCTATGAAAAATTGCATTTTTAAAAATGGTGTCAAAAATTTTATACTTTATAATTATATTTTTTTAGACTAATACTAAATAAAATAATAAATATTTTTCTAAAATTTATTTTTTGCATGAAATTATCTTGAGATAAGCGAAATGTAAAAATATTTTATTTCGCAAAAAGTAAAATTGACATTGAGGATTTGGATCGCTCTCCTAACCAAACTACGGGGACCCTATTCCTATATTTTGAGGATCCGTCTTAAAAAGGTATGTTTATTCAGAGAAAGTACGTTTTCGTACTTGAAATATCGTCTGCACTAAATTACATTTCACCTGCCGTAAATGATTCGTTCTCCAAATTTCAAGAACTTTTTAAGTGAATCTAAAGTTATTTTTAACTCAATTATAAAACTCGCCTATCCAAGTATACTTTAATGTAAAAAAAATTTACTATAATTATTTACTGAATTTCAAAAATTTTTTATTTAATAATTGTCGAAATTATTTCGAATGGGATACTCTTAACTTAAGAATACTCCCGATACACAACCACCTGACCTAAAGGCCAGCTGGTTGTTTATAAAAAAGATGGCTTAGTAACATTGCAGTATATAAGATCGAACAAATTTTTATCCATTTAAGTAAGAATATTAATTATCTTAATTAAATACAACAAATTGTCGCATATCCAATTTGTTAAAATGTAATTATTTCTTGTCTACATCTTTTATTTTACCAAGATTTATTATTTGTTTACATATTTTGTTACCGTGATTATTTTGTTCTGTGTGTTGTTTAATAGTTAGTTTGTTAATGTTCTGCAATGACTTCTTGCCTGTGTTAAGTTAGAAATAAACCAATGCCTTCTTTGTGAAAGAACATAAAATATGTCACTCAAGAGAATTCATATTTAACGAGCTAGGCTTACTCGAAATGGAATGGAAAGAACAGTTGCTAACGTAAACAAATGTCACGTTTCAACAGCTTATCAGGATCCATAGTCACGATGACTACGCTTGCTGGTATTCAACTGTAAAATATGCAAATTTTTACATCGTTTCAAACGGCGTTATTTTAAATGACGAAATTCAAAACTTGAACAAAAAAAATTTTTTATAGTGCTCGAGATATTTCACGTCAACATATTCCGCTTTAATTTTGTATATTAATTTTACAATGAAAATAATGTAGCTTAAAAATGTGCACATGTTATTATTCAAGATTTCTTAACCCTTCATTAAATTTCACGCTCTCTTAAGCGAATGAGTACCGTTTCTACATTTAGTAAATAGGTAACGTATTATTTTTTTTCTTCAATTAGAAACTATTACCAAAATTAATTATCATTCAAGTAAAAATATTGACGCTTTTTTTTTAATGTTTTTTTTTCTCAAAGTACTATTGCATTCACTTTGTTTTTCAAAGCAAAATACGCCGGCGATTTTCATTTAATAGTTTTATAATAACTCATTTGAAAAGCTTATTAACAAAATGGACACATGCTTTCAGATAAGTTTAAGAATACTAATTTAATGTCCATATATGCTTCTATTGATCATTCAGATTCTCTGGCACAGCGAATAAAAAATAATTACAGAACGCGCAATAAACATCTTATTTTATTACAGTTATCAAAAATCACTGATATTATCTTTAAAAAATGGAATTTATTCATAAGTTTAGGGAAAGCCATTGCTTTAAATTAAACTATAGGTGATTTAGTTTTGTCAATTATTTCAAATGTCCCTGAATTGAAAATATAATTAAAAATTTGAAAATCGGGCTTCGTCATTTATTTTTAATTTGATGTTTACATTGTTTCATGTCGACTGCCGTATTTTTAGTGTCTACGGTGTATCCGCCATTCGGTCACACACAAATTCTTTATTTTATTATATGTACGGATAATAATTTTTCTTCAAATGGTGCATTTCATAATAATTTGGAAAACATGTTTTTGAAGTTTTATGTTTTCGCACAAAGTGCGTTTTTTCCCCCAATACTACTGTGGCATGCTTGCGTTCAAATGATAAAAACCTAATTCAGTTTAATTTTTTGCGAAAAGCAAAATTTTTTACGTTTTAATGGAAGATTACCCCACCCTGATGATCCATAAATTTTGTGGCCCTTCTTCCTCCCGGAATGAATTCTTAAACAAATTGTCTCTTTATTAGTACTTCATTTATTATTGAAACTGTAGCCTTTCAACAAAGCTTTCATATGAAGTGGCTCTTCCTATTTTCATCACGCTGCGGTTGATCTCAATAATATTTCGTCAGATTTGATAAAGTTTATTTTACTCTTCAATATTTATAAGTGTAAGAGCTTCATTTTTGTGAGAGTAATTTTCTTCTTATTTTTAGGACAAGTTACTGGTCAGACTGGAAGAACACGAGCCCGAACAAGCCCAGTCACAAGATGAGGAGGTAATAATTATTTATCGAAAATGATTTATACTATAAAGCTAATGTGAAAAGCCACATGAAAATTGTTTTAATGACTCGTTTTTTGAAAAAATAAAAATTAAAAAATTAACAAACATCGGCGTTATCTTAAAATTGAAATTTTCTAAACTCATCTCTTATTCTAGCACAGAATTAGTACATAATTAGTGAGTACTTTCTCCCACTCAAAATTTTTCAAACGAATGTTTGTGATATAGATACTGGGTCAATTTATTTTACTTTTATAACCGGTTCTGAACAACCGATCGGGGTTTTTTCGACAATCAATTTTCTGATTGTCCCGCGATTTGGGCTCGAATCCCAATGATACGCATTCCACACCAGACTCGCACCCCAACCACTGTGATGACGTAAAATATCGTCAGTGGCAAACGGATCATGGGCTACAGTCCCCTTGCCGTCAGGCTAACCCTGTTGGATTTCCGTGGCTTTCATCTCCATGTAACGCAAAAGCGGGTTCGTTCCATCAAAAAGTCCACCACGAAGGCAGTCTTCGGATTAGGTCCAAAATGGTAAGGCTACGGTAGTCGTAAACCCAAAATCAGGTCAGCTGTTCAACGAGAATAAAATAAAATAAAAAAACAATGTACATCAGTTCCGGGGTGGTCCAAGGGATAAAGCGTCGCAATGCTTTTATGAATCCCAGCGGGAGGTTGTCGATACGAATTCCGTACCCGGCTCACATGGACTGCAGTGTAAATCCACTGTGGTAAGCGGATGATGGGTTAGAGTCCCCTTGTCGTCAGGCTAACCATGGGTGGTTTTCCTCTTTGTGTAACGCAGATGTAAATTAGTTCCATCAAAAAGGAACGTTGGTTGTGATAACTTCAAAATTGGGTCAGCTGTTCGACGACAGTACAAAAAAAATCAATGTTCCACTCCTTCTCATTTTGAACTGAAACAAAAGAACTCCTCACGACAAACTGACCTTTCGTGGTGGGATTTTTCAGCATTTAAAACTTCACTGTAGATTTATTCTCTAAACTTTTGTGTTCACCATTTCTCCCACAGTTTCTTCACTCATTCAACCCTTTGAACCATTAAGATAGGTACTGAATTAGTGATATAACTATAGTTTCTTAGGGTGATTTTTTTTTCTCCACATCACAGTCAAAACCTCAACCCATCAGCCAAATGTGTATCACAGATTGTCCACGTGATGTCTACCCTGCATACAACACTCTTTATTTAAAAAGAGCGAACATGCTTAACTCCTCCCCCCCCCGGTACCCAAATAAAAGGTGTGTGTTAAGGAAAAGATTAAAAAGATATCTAGAACATTTTTAAAGGTCGTTTTGATAAATAACATTTTGAATTGAGATGGTTGCAGTAGTGGGACTTTCGTCAGAAACTCTTTCTGTTGATCTTTTGATTATCACGACTTCATTGAGATAAAAAAATGAGAATAGAAATAAAATTGGCATTTCTCACGAAATTTAATAAGATGGGTGTATCACGTTTTTAAAACAAGGTTCTTGGTAAAAATCATGATTTTTTAAAAATAAAGAAATAGAAAAAAATTGGGGTTATTGGGGTTATTTTTATTGAAGCAATTTTTTTTTTAAACTTGACCCATTGAAGATTGGATCAAATGTATCGCTTAATATTATTTAAAAACAATATTATAACTAAAACACTTAGTATTTCAAACTGAAATAGTTTTAAAAATTGTATAGATTTCACTGAATAAATGTGCATGATTTTGTGAAGACCCAATGTGTCCGTCAGATTTCAACGGAGGAATAAATTTATGAGGGGAAAAAAAATCGATTTTCTAAAATTATTTCTACAGAACAAGTCTTTCTTCATTCTTAGAAGGTCTCATTCATTCATTCTTTCTTCATATTTAGTTAGTTTTGAAAGTATTTAATTTACAGTAAATGAACATAAAACTAAATGAATATTAATAAAACATGGATTTTGCACCATTCGAAGCCTGTCGCTCTGTTACAGATCTCATTTAGCAATAGTGTACATAAAAATATTTTTTGTCTTCCAAACGCGAAAACATTTGGGCGGATACAAAAAAGAAATCATTATACTGAGTGAGTAGTCTTCAAAAATGAGCGAAAATGGTTGAAGTCCTTAATTCGTAGGTAAAAAATAGTTCCCTGTTTCAGAATAGAAAGAATGGGGGGAGGGAGAGAAATAGCGTCACACTGAGTAAACCTGATGAATGTAATTTGTTACATTTGACCTTTTCCTAAAAGACGAGATCCATAAAAATTTAATCGATTCTTGATTATTGGTTCGATCATTGTCTGACGCCATTGTCATGACGTTAAAACAGAACCAAAAAAAATTCCACTAAGGATAAATATAGACAGAGAATTCTGTATGCGAAGTGCAAGAATTTTTTTTAATCAAATTTTTACGATAGTGTGAGTTTCAAATTGTTTAGGAACATGAATTTTTCAACTGTAGCTTGAGAAGTAACTTAAGGGGAGGACCCCATCCTGAGATGGCAAAATATTAAAGTTTTTCTTGAATAATGAGACAATGCAGAGAGAGACTCCTTGTTTTTTTTTTATGCCATTTAGCTACAATTTAAGTCTGTTTTAAAAAATTTTCTTTTACAAAATAATAAAAAATAAGTTGGTGGCAGCTGGTGTGTTGGTGCGCGACTGGTCATCAAAAAGTACCATCTCACTGGCCTCATGAATTTAGAAGTCCTGAAGCATAGGAAAACGATTTTGTTTAGATTTTCTGAAACATAAAGACATGATCTAAAAAGTAGCCTAGCGGTTTTTTGATATTCGCAAAATTACCAAAATGGTTGCAACTTAAAAAAAAAAAAAAGATTAGTTTTTCATTAAAAAAATATTCATTAAAATATTAATATAAAATCGAAATATAAAAATATCAAAAAACTCCTATGCTACTTTCTGAAGAATATATTTTTACGTAATTTTAAGTAAAGAACAGCTTATTTCGTTGCATAGATCATGAGAAAAACGTTAGGCCAAGTCAAAAAACAGCGTTTTGAGAAAAACGCTTTTAAAGTTTTGACTTATGTTCAATCTAGTCAATTATTAATGACTAACCTTTATTCTGCAATTCCAGGTCCATACATCTTCTCCGTCAACAGAATGAATGAGACACAAAAAGAATGTCGCCCCTCCTAATCCGGCCGAACGAGCCTTTCTACTTGCTCAGCGACGACTCTCTATTTTCCGGTATAACTTCCGAACGAAGTTAGGTATCGAGAAATCGTTTCAGACAGACATTAGAAAGGGTCCAAAGATTCGAAAAATGCAGTAAAATTTTTTTCGAATTTTTGAAATATTCAGGGTGGGGTCCCCCCTGAATGGTAATTATTATAGTATTCGAAAACAAGAACTTGATGGGCCACTTTTTTGTGGGTAAATGTATTTCACCAATCATGTTCTCGCTCGCCTCATCGAATTCGCATGCACGAATTTTTCGCATGCAGTGTGAAGGGTCCTTCATTGGGTACTTGCTCTTCACGAAGAAGAAGATCACGGATATCAGCACATGTGACCTATAACGTTAGCGCCAGCTGATCGCTTATAAGCGATAATCCAGTTAAGTTCGAATGTTAATGAACGAGAAGTTAATTAATTAAGTACAGCGCCGTATCGTACATCGAATCTGTTGTAACTTAATTCTTTTTCATCTACGTATTTTATTTCACTTATTATTTGTTTGTGCATTTTATTGTGACCATGATATATTTTTGTTTCGTGTACCTGGCAACTCCGATGCATCATTAGTTTGTTTATGTTCTGCGTGGATTCGTAGCCGTCTTTGCGTTAAGTCTCTGCGTAAATGCATAGTGACAGAATTGAAATTTTTGAGAAAAAATCTTTGTGAAAGAATTTAGGATGCGTCACTTAAGAGAATGGATACTTGACTGGCTTGGCTTTCTCGAAATAGAGTGGAAAGAGCAGTTGTTAACGCAAACAAATGTCACGAAGGAGTCATTTCAATGTCAAATGTCATCAGAATCGAGACACTCACAGTACGACGTCACTTGCAGGTGTGATTAAATAATTACTTTGATTGTGGGGTTTATTTGCGGAGGAATTTCGTGGCACTTTATCTTGAGAGAGTTACTTCATATTATTATCATATATATATTATTTATTTGTTTAGTTGTAGGGTTTGGTGAAATAGAGTGATAAACCGCACTTTTTCAGAGGAAACGTTTATGCATCAAATAAAATCCTTAACATAGTTTACAAATCAGTTCTTTGCAAGTTTACAAAATTTCCAGTTTTTTTAATACAAATTTTTAGAAATAGAGCGAAAGAATATTTAAATAAGATTAATTGATTTCATATTAGTTTCATATAGCTGAAAAATGATATTTAACTACAGCAGCTGTATTAGAAATCTTTTTTTTTTCTTCCAGTGTGCCATATGTATCAGTGCCAAAGCTACGATGCAAACCTTTCCATGTGGTCATAAAGTAGTGTGCCGCCGATGTTTCGTCAAAACCATCCAGATGGCAGTCTCTCAGCGTCTGTTGCCACTCCGCTGCGTCATGTGCCGTGCCAAGATTCTCAAACTCAAACAACTCACCTCAAATCACAAACACGGTGTCACACTCCGAGAAGAGTTCCCCACCTCTGCAAGGGTTCTCAATTCCCCGTGTTCCAAAATCCAAGGAAACGTCTACCGCACCCTCAACCGACCCGTTCGCAAATTGTACATAGACAGTCCTGACATTTTAAACCAATTAGCCTCACATAGCAGGCCCATTTCGAGCCCACGTGTTCTTTTGGCCATTCCAGAAGGTGAGGAACTGGAGTTGGTGAATAGCGTTCAAGAACGCTGCCCTGAAGAGTGGCCTGCTGATCCCCTTAAAGTTGCCAAAGATCCATTGGTTGTGAAGTGGCTGTCCAGATTTCGCCAATTCAAACCACCTTCCATTATAAAAGGCATCAAAAACAGATGGAGAAAATAATGATATCGGTTGGAGGCGCTTATCATTCCTGAAACATTTAAAGCAACGAATAGGTTTTGAAAAACACTCTTTTTTCTTCGAGCTTAAATAAGTTAGTTTTTAATATCAACTCTCGAAATCTGAATGCAAATATCTTTCTTCGATCATGTTTTTGGTGCTCCTTTTTTTTTTTTTTTTTTTTTTTTTTTTTTNTTTTTTTTTTTTTTTTTTTTTTTTTTTTTTTTTTTGCTTTGCGGGAACGAGAAGTAATCCAACCTCAATGAGAATGACCAAAACTTCCACCGGTGAATGTTGACAATCACATAGTCACTTTGGTAAATGTTCCGAAATACTAGGTCCAGTTAGGTGACACTTCCCAGTATACATTTGCCCGGTATGCCCTACCTCAATGTTTTTTAAGGTTCAGTGCCACAGCTCGGTATACATTTGCCCGGTGTACCCGACATCAATGTTTTTTTAAGATCAAGTGTCATTGTCCAGTATGCATTTAACCGGTACTCTGAACAGTGATGTTACTTCTAATCTATCTTTAGCACATGTTAAAATATCGAATAAATATAATAATATCGACGAATAAATTAATATAAAATCGGATATAACAAATATTTTGGACGATCACCAAAGCGACTATGTGACTGTTGACATTCACTGGTGAAAGTCGACATTCATGTTAACATATACATCTTTCATCGTGAACGGGATCGGAAACCACGGCCTAAACTGCATTTTTTTTTATATTGACTATTTCAAATGTTACCTGCAGTCCAGATAGAAGTTAATGAAATATAATAACGGAATGCGCAACGAAAATTAATATTATAGCATTGAATTAATATTATTCACTTTAAATAATCATAAATTATTCTTTTCTATTTTTAACTAGTTGCTTAAGTCAAATGATTGAAAATGCATGAACGGTGAATAAAGTTTGAGTCATTAGTGTGTTTCTAATCCTGTAAACTAAGAGTGTTTGTTTAAACATAATAAGGCAATAATATCAATACAGCAAATAATACTTTATAAATAATGAAGTAATAATTAGAAGTGGATGTGATTTTTGTATAATTTCAGGAATGATAAGATCTTACTTCAAAGTCTGGCTACCAAATGGCAACCACAGTGACTTGATGTTTGGCTATTTCTTATGACTTATTTCTTAACTTTAACACTAAAAAAAAAACCTTTCAATCTGTAAAAATTTTAAAAGAAATTTAAAGTTTTGAAGTGATTTTAAACTCATCAGATTCGAACCATTCGGAAAAATAGTTTTCTTTAAGCCATCTAATGTCTATTATAATTGTAAAATAATAAAGTAAGTCAAAAGGACTTATTATTAATAATTTGGTATTATTTAATTGTACTGAATAAAGTTTAAAGGGCATAAAATCAATTTTCTCTCTCTGCAGTATTGTACAGTGAGCAAACATAAAAAGAAAAGAAAAAAACGGTTCACCCTGAGTAACTTTTGATCTAATGATCGAATCTTCACATTTTAGGACTCAATCTTAATGGCTCGAGGGGAAGATATGCCAATTAATACGATATTTTAAGTTAAGAAGATATTTTAAGTTAAGAAATCAGACACAAAACACCCTTTCTCTGAATAAATATACCTTTTTTTCAACAGTTTCAGATTTCTGACCCCCAAAATATAGGGGGTATCAGCAATCTGGGGTCTCAATAGTTTGGTGAGGAGAGCGACCCCTTAATGTTAATTTTACTTTTTGAGTGTTTCGCTCTATCTATTGCACATAATTCGTTCGTCCAAAGATGCAAAAAAAGGACCTACAAATTTTAAAGATAATTAACTGGAGAGCCTTGGCTAAGAGAAGAATGTCTTGGCATAGGCTTGTTGAGAAGGCCAAGGCCCATCCTGGGCTGTCGTGCCAATGAGAAGAAGAAGAAAAGATGCAAAAAATAACCTTTATTAAATATTTATAATTTTTTATTTTATTTAAAAATGAACGAAAAACTTTTAATTGTGAGGTATACAATTTTTACATCATTTTAAAGAATGTAATTTTACATGGCAAAATATGAAATCTGAGTAAAATCTATCGAATAGTTCTTGAGAAATCAAATTTTAAAAACACAACTCTTTTCCACAACTTAAAATATTATCATTGTTAATTGATTTGCCTATTTAAGGTTATTCCCTCGAACCATTAAGATTGAGCCCTAGAACGTGAAGAATCAACCATTCTATCGAAAATTATTCAACGTGGTTCACTTATTATATATTTATTTATTTATTTATATTTATTTATTAATTATTACGTTTAATAAATATTTTTAAAAATATTGTAAAAAATATATATTAAAAAGCCGAAAAACAAAAAAAATGGTAAGCTATAATCATTTCGTCAGCTCACACGATTATATCCGCAAAAAGAAGTGCTTTCTAATATTGTATCAATATAGCCAAAGCAAAATGTATCAATACAATAGTGTGAGGAGCACTCAAAAAAATCAAAACAAAATAGAAGATTACATCTTTTCATTTTTGTTTTTGTTTTCCGGTTTTTTAATATATATTTAATTTTTTTCAATAATAATTTAAATCATTAATTACATTATAATTTATTAATAACCAATAATTTTTTAATAATTTAATTAAGTAAGACTTGGCGAGCCATTTTGTAGCCGGCCAAACAATGGCGAACAAAGCAACCTGCATTTCGTGATTGCCAAACTTGAATTTCGAAACCCTATGACAAAAAATACCCATAAAGTCATGGAATATAGCACTACAAAAAAGTGACTCTTTTTTGGGGGTCTTGCATTGATAGATTAGATACTTGCCTTTCACATAGAGGGTGATTATTTTTAAAGATTGCGTCGTACATCATGAATTCATGTTTATAGTGCCTTTAAACGTGAAGGCTCTCTCTAGTTATCTTAAATGTTTGTAGATTATTTTAGTAAATGTCGGCAGTGTTTATTTTCTTTCCTGTATTGTGTATTTGTCTAAATGTATGCATACCTAAGTATTGTATTCAAAGAGCCAGTTTCTTTAAAGCAGGGTTGGTTACAAAACATTTTCTATTTTGTTGATATTTTCAGGATACGTTCTGCACGTAAAACTATTAGATACTCGCTTAAAAAAATTTTCTCACATTTTTTTGAAGGCCATCAAAATTGAGGATCCTCTGAAATATTTTGGAAAAATAATTAATACGCATGAACACATAAGTATTTTGGGAAAAGACACGGCACTGACATTTGTCTTAATTGCTTTGTTTCTACTACTTTTCCACTCAGTCGCACATTCTTAGTGTTGACCTCGATAGTCTAAGATCATTCAAAAAATCTTCGAGATGAGACTACTTTTTTACACGGTTGCCTTTAAAATCTTCTTGCCTTAACTGTGAGCCACATTTCAATAAATTCATACCAATGAGTGACATTTAAAAGCAATATACGTGTGATGTATATTTTGTGTGTGACCTTAAAGTTGTAGAACAGGAGGAGGTCATTCACTGCCTTCGTCGAACTAAGATGAAATTTTCTAAAAAAGGAGTTTTTAAATATAGCAGAAAAAATTCAACGAACAGATCTATAGTAACGTATTCAACTTTGATATAACGAGGCCTTTAATTGAATGCGGAAATATTTAGAATACCTTCAAAAGTGTTTATATTAAATAATATGTTAAATGTATCATTTGTAATAATGTGTTAAAATGTGTCATTTAGGGCTAATATGATTATCTGAAGTGAACACGAGGTGAGTTTTTGACTCGATAGAGAATTTATCGAAATCTGAGATCGTTGTTATCTATACAAGTGACAGAACGTGCAGCCCTCATGACTTCAAAATTATTCATTCTATTCACAACTATTCATGAGTTATCGTTTGTGCGGAAGTAGTCGAACACAACCAAAAAGTTTTCCAAAAAGTATTGATTTATGTCAATTGATAATTCCTGAGAATATTCAGCTTTGTCAAACTATACTTTTCAGATAAAAAAATTAAAAAACAATTTCTCAGAAATAAAAATAGTTCATAAAAGATAATAATAGTTAATAATCAAATAGTTTTTCTTAAAGAACATGTCCAGAAAGTTTCAACAAAATCACAATTGCCTAGTGTCCAACACTGCCAGGTTTGCCCGGAGTTTTTTCTAATTAAAAAATTGGCTCTTGACACAAACAGTATAAATCCTCATTTACGTATTCTTTTAGAGATGTGAATGTTCAATAAAAAAAATTGTATAGATTTATGATTATTTTGAAAACAATACACAGACCATGTTTGTGTCACCTATACACACGCTGATAACTACCGAATTACAACTCTATATTTTATGACCCAACCATGGATTAGGATTCAAAGCTAAAATTCTTTCAAAGTATACATTTCATTCATTGCTTTTAAATTTAAAATAAAAATGCTACAGAATTTCAAGTGTCAAATTTCTTATAAAATAGCAACGGTTATCATTAAATGAGTAATAAATAATGACATTAAAAGAACGGAACATTTTAACTTTGAGGTCCGTTCCTGAATGGTAAAGGAAACACTGTAAACTGGATTAAAACATTGAATTTAGAATCAATATGAATATTCTGAAGTTAACAACCTAGAGAGATTCAGTCAGAATCTGATTTACCTCTGAAGTTAAGGGAAGCTCATGCTCGTTTCTTCGTCCCCCCCCCTTTTTTTTTTTTGTTTGAAAAAAGTTTTCTTAAATTCAATGCACATTAAAATGAAACTTACTAATGCTACAAATATTTCCCAAAGTGGTTCAGAAGCATTCATATTTAACGTTATGTGGTTCAATCTATGGGGTTTAATCTGAATGAAAGGTACCATTTCGTTGCGTAGCTTAGCAGCTACATGTGTCTGGGTGAAAGTGAAACGGAGAAAAAAAATGGCAAAAGCAATTCATTTTTGCCTAGTTTCTGTCACAGTTTTTGTTAGTGAATAAGTTAAATATTTTAATTTTAAAGAGGGGAATCATAAATTTCAAAAAAAGTAAGTCCTCTAATTCTACCATGACTAATTTGTATTGCAGAAGCCTGAAATCGAAGTCTGCTCCAACATTTCTTAATAAGTGCATATAATCTCCCGATTTAGCAAGACTTTTTTTTTTAAATAAATAAATAAAGAACTGTTATCCGAACAGAAAAACGAAGTCTGTCATTTTGATTTCTTTTTTCTAATTCTGAGCTTATTATTGGGCCCGATGTGCTTTGTTACTGGATCTTTTGAATGATACGGAGCCTTTAAATGCATGAGTCCCTTTCTTTGAAAGAGTAAAGAGCTACAAAATTTTGACGAATTTAAATCCTTTCCGGTAATATGGCTTTAATCTCGACTAGAATTTTCCGAGGAGGCAAGAGTTAGCTGGATTTACACATCGCTAAAGTGTCGAATGTTTCCAAAATATTTTTTTTCTCCGCTGAATCGAATGCAATGTGACCCAAATCGATAAAACAAACAGTTCTAAAGTTATCAAAAAGTGTTTGCTTTTAAAAAAGAATAGTACTTATAGGTTACTTCTCAGAAAATTTGAACAATAGTGTTCACCAAACCCAATTTTGAATTCGCTAAGTATTCACTACTTCAGAAAAATACTTTTTGTTTCAAAAACTTTGCACTAAAATAACTTTTTTCATTCCATTTAAGATATAAATTTAAGAAAAAAACAGTTTGCAGAAATATTTCATAAAAACATTAAAAAATAATTTAAAGTATTTATATTTTAAAAATAAATTCGTCAAATTCGGACTTTCTTTCAAACACTAGATTTAGTTTGTCTAAAAATCTCTCAAACAGTTAACTTTATGTCATTCATTATGGATAATAATCATCCAATTGAAATAATTCAGACTATTTAAACAAGCAGTTCATAATTAACATTATGAAATGGGTCTTTTGATTAGAATTCTCCTATATATGAAACTTTTGCTATTAATTATGTTAATTCCTGTCAATAGGCAAATTTATTAATTTACTCTAAAAATTTCAGAAGGAATTAAATTTAAACTTAATTGTTGTTAGAGCTTTACTGTTTAAATCTGAGTTATGCCTCCACCTTTGAAAACGGTTCTTTACTTTTTAACGCGTTTGACTTTGCTACAGAGGCAAGCGAACAATAAGATTCAATGTTTACGTTAAATCGAATAAGATCAAAACCGAGTCTATTGAATGAATCAATTTATAAGAGTTATGAACTTTGGTATAAAAATTATACTTTTTGACCTATTCATGCATGTAAATTTGCATTGTTTCTTTTTTTTTTTTTAACACTAAATCCAATAAAATTTTAAGTTAAGAGGTAGACATATCTAACAGTTCGAAACAGTAAGTGTTTTATGCGTGAAATAACAAATCGTATTTTTTATACATAAAACCCAGAAAATTTCTTAGATTTTTGTCTCATGGTGTCAAGCGATCCAAGGTATAAAACTTGGCTTAT